TAAGGCTAATTCAGGAGAAGGGAGTTTGTTCTGAGACATGAAGGCTGAGTGTGATTTGATTTAATTGCTAATTGTGAAACTTAAGCCATCCTGGCTTTCAGTATCCTCAGTTCTGAGCCTTTTGGAATTCGCGGAACATCAAAGTGAGGGCTAAACCAGCTGTTGCTGCCATCTACCAGTTTCCTTATGACACTGCCAAGCCACCAAGGAAGAACAGCACCTTCCTTGACAGATTTCAGTGGGACCGGAAGTATTTAATTTGTTGTTACTGTTGTTTGGATTTGGGGTCACACTGGCTGATACCTGGGGGCTGCTAATGGCTCAGTGCTCAGGGCTCGCCCTTGGAGGTGCTTGAGGAAACTTGAACTCAGATCCCAGCATGCCAACTGACACTGTTGAATTTGGGGAAAAGATATCCCATCTGTGAACTGGTAGAAATACATCTAGGCTCTAGAAAAATCCACCTTTCCTGGTTTGTTCAGTAAAGTCAAAGTGATAACAGAAGAATTTCCTTTTGAATCCTTCCGCTCTTAGTCGGGCAGGTTGTACTTCAGGGCCCATGAGCTGAACCTCTGCGGTCTCATGCCTATTTCCACAGAATAGCATGCTTATGGCATTTATATAATTCTGTTTGGAAAAACTGCAAATAGTGGTAAAGTGGTGAAAGTCCTTATGCATAAGAAATGCAGAACTCACAATATAGCACCGCTGGGACAAGGGTAGTATTTGGCATGGAAAAAAAGTCTTCACTTGTGGTCCCACACTTTTTATATTGTATTATATATTTAATTATGAAGAAAAACAAAACTGTAGTTGTGTAAAAGATTGGACATAGCTCTTTTAGTATACATACACACATACATATGTATGTATAATATGCATATATAAATATATATACGTATATATATATTTCCAAAAGGAAAATTCTAATTAAGGATTTAGGAATGTTTCTGTATCTTTCTAGAAATGAAATACCTGACCCCAATTCCTTGAACCCCTCATAACAGCTAAGTTTATTGTTGCTTTCAGTAATTTTTTTAAATTAAAATGACAGCTTTAAGGGGCCAGAGCAATAGTACAGAGGCAGAGCCTTTGCCTTGCATGTAGCTGACCTGGTTTCAATCCCCAGCATCCTGTACAGTCTCCTGAGCACAGCCAGGAGTAATTCCTGAGTGCAAAGCCAGAATTAACCCCTGAGTATCACTGGGCATGGCTCCTAAATTAAACAAAATGAAATAAAAAGGGAAAGAGACTCCTTTATAAATTTTATCAACTAGAAAGTAGGTCTTAACCCACTCTGATATCCAGCCATTTTTAATATCATTTCTTTGAGAAAATGGATTATTACTGCCCAATAAGTGTCTTATGAATAGACTTTTGAATCATGTTGCATTTGAGAATGAGGAACTATTTGTGATAGTAACGCATTATATTGGCTTTCCTGAGAACTGTGCAGAAGGGACCTATATTCTGGCATACATGTGTGGTGAAAGCAGCATGTCTGGGTTTGTTTCAAAGATTATTGCTAAGTGGGCACTCAAAAGCATAGGAATTATAAGCAAAGTAGCAGCTGCAAACGAATCAAGGGTAGAGTTGGGAGTGTGGATCTGGAGAATGTTTTAGTGGTAAGAAAATTTTTCAGAGAGGAAAAGAGTATGAATATGGGTAGATAAAGTGAAGTAAGAACAGGATGGAAAATAGATAAGGAGGTTAGGGGCAGAAAAAGTTGAAAACAAAGGGGTAGGATAGAAGAAAAAAGGATTGACAATTAACATATTTTTAAATTTATTAGTTTATAAGGAAGGTTTATAATCAAAATATACCATACACTTTGATATGCCAAAAACGGTAATAAAAATGGACCTTATTCCCCTGATCCTGAAAGAGCCCCCAATATTCCATTGAGCTACTCTAGCATGTGACAGGGACAAATGGAGTTGTTACTGGTGCCCTCTCTAGCAAATCGATGATCAGTGGGATGAGAAGTGACAGTGACAGTGACCATATACTTGGAACTGCTGAGTGGCCTATAAGGAGGGTAGACAACAGATAACCTCCAAGACCTGTGGTTTATGCCCTTTAGCTCTTAAAATGAAATATTAGCATCAGGATTTAGATACATCTATAGAGCATAGATCTTTTGTTATAAACACACACACACATATATGTATATATGTACATTATATTATACTTATGGAGCGATAGCACAGTGGGTAGGGCATTTTCCTTACATGCGGCTGACCCAGGTTCGATTCCTTTGTCCCTCTTGGAGAGTCTGGCAAGCTACCGAGAGTATCCCGCCCACACTGCAGAGCCTGGCAAGCTCCCCGTGGCGTATTCGATATGCCAAAAAAAGTAACAACAGGTCTCACAATGGAGACGTTACTGGTGCCCGCTCGAGCAACTTGATGATCAACAGGAGGACAGTGCTACAGTGCTACATTATACTTATGAATTCAGGCTATTTACTATTTATGGAGAACCTTTGATGGGTTAGCATGATTAGAGGTTTACAAAGAAAGTCTCTTCCTTCATGAAATCTACAATTGAGTATGATTCCAGACAACTACAAAAATGAGGCAAGCAGGATAGGGTATGATGGTGCTGTTATCTGGGCTGGAGTGATAGCACAGTGGGTAAGGTGTTTGCCTTGTAAGGGGCCAACATGGCCGACCTGAGTTCAATTCCTCCACCCCTCTCAGAGAGCCTGGTAAACTACCGAGAGTATCTCACCTGCACGGCAAAGCCTGGCAAACCTGGCAAGCTACCTGTGATATATTCGAAATGCCAAACACAGTAACAACAAGTCTCACAATGGAGACGTTACTGGGCCCGCTCGAGCAAATCGATTGAATTGAATTATTTTATTCTTAATTTAAAATATTTGCTGTCTCAGCTTTTTTGCTGTATTGTTAGATTTGTGGGGGGAAACAATATAGAACACACACATACACACACACTTCTACATATATGTATATGTATTTGTGTGTATATATTCTTTATTGCTTGTAATTACTATGGGGACATGGTAAGTACTCCTACATTGATTATAGGTTGATTATAATAAATTTGACTCATGTAGGTGTTTAATGGTAGTCAGTTTAAGCACAAGGAAACTGTCACTGTTTTAAACCATTTGCCTCTATGTGAGAAAATGCCTATCAGTGGAATATGGTGAATATTTTTATTGACATGGTTTAACTTCCTTCCTGGTGCTTGATACTCACCCTGCTAGTGAAAAGGACACCGCCACATGTCTATAGTTTGCAGTTCAAGATAGCCAGAAAGTCACATCTATTCTCACTTGCATACCTGCTCCAAGAGGTCATCTCTGTCTTTCTCACTCACGATCCATGCTATGCTGTGTGCATAACTGTCACAGTCATTTCCGCAGTATTTTAGAAGGCTTCTTCCAGACCGTGGAAGCTTCTGCCATAAAGTATCAGAGTTCCTAGTTTTGTTTTACACACGAGAAAACTGCAATTTTAAGAGATTAGTAAGACTCCAGGTTTTGGTTCTGTAGAATAGTAAGGCCTTAAATACATCTTATGTACTTCTCAAACATATCTGATACTGTCCAAGTCTTACTGTTTTTTTTTCCCACATGAACTTAGTTCTGGCTTTTGGATGGTAGCTAAGCCACAATTGAGCCATGGGTAGGAGGATTTCTGTTCATTCAATGTATTTCTTTAAGACTGTAATTTATCTTATCCTATGATAAATTATATACAAATGTAACTTTACTAGCCAAAGGACAGTTGTCCAGACAGAATAATTTTAGCAGACTTTTGTGCTTCCTTGATTAACTCAAACCAGATTTTTTATTATGAGCCAAAAATTGCATTCTTATATTTGAACCAGATATCCTATTCATAGTCATAAATTCACTGGGAAGATCAGAACAATGTTTTGGTTTTTTAAATCTGAAGAGTAGTTCTATTCTTTAACTTAATAACAGACATCACATCAAGACACTTACTTAGGTTGGTAGTGCTGTTTGAAAGGTACTGGCAGTTAATTTGATGAGATATTTTCTTCAACATGAAGTGTTTGGGATATATCTCAAGGGATAGAGCATGTGTGAGATGTTGAGTTCCTACCCTCACACCACATACCACTCACCCCTAGCACTGTAGGGTTTGTCCCTACCGCCAACAACAACAACAACAACAATAACAAAAATGTGCATCGATTATTCTGATGATACATTGTAAGAAATTATTTTCACCCAAAGCCCTCATCAGAGAATGTGTTTTAAGACTTGTGTTACTTGTATGTTGCCTAATAACTTTGGGAAGATTCAAAGATTGCCTTGTGAGGAATAAGAAATATTTACTGTTTGAGTTCTAGCAGTGTTATCTTTCCTCAAAAGCATGAGAAAAATAAATGAATAATAATACATCATTGAGAAGTGGAAAAGTTGCAAAAATGTAGGAAATTTAGGTCCAGCAGAGAAAAATTGGGTACTCTAGATCAAGCATAGACTGTAACCAGAGTGTATAATTGTACATACCCAATGTCAATATCAGTACAGGAATGTTTTTACCCATGAAACAGATCTAGAGGCTAGCACAGTGAAATTTTGATGCATAAATTACACCTAGTTGAACTTGACATATTTTACACAGAGAAATACTAATAGCCAACTGGTCATGAAAGAATCCTCATTTTCGGGAACTTAGTTTAGAATTCTAGTTTTAATATGTATATTAGGTGTTTTTTATCTTTTATATTTTCAGTATAAAATGATAGTTATCAGAGGACAGTGGGAAGAGGACAGGAGGTGCGGGTATCAGAGAGGGTTCAGTGGAGCTAAAACTTTGGTAGTGATTGTGGTGTGGTATACACATATATGGGCATGTAAAAGAATGTTCCTGAAACTGATACAATATTGTGACGAGTGCTGCATCACCAAAAAAAAAAAAAAAAGACTAAATTTTCAGTCTTTGCATATTAAACAGATATTTTAATCTCTCTCCCCTTCTCCACTCTTGTTTCAGGCCACGAGGGAAGCCATTACTCAGCACTGCACTGACCTTGGAAATTTGCTGGGAAAGGAGAATGATGTGGCCCTCATCATCGATGGCCACACCCTGAAGTATGCACTTTCCTTTGAAGTTCGGAGAAGCTTCCTGGACTTGGCGCTCTCCTGTAAAGCCGTCATTTGCTGCAGGTAGGGATGCACAAGCTGTGTGTGATCCTCTTTTGCTCTGTCTGTATCCTGTGTGTACGTGAGAAACTCAGTGCATGTGAAAGCTACGATTATGGGTTTTTAAATTTTTTAAGGTGAAATAAAAAGACAAATTTTATTATTCATTTGCAGGTTTTGTGTGCAGCAGTGGGTGGTTCTTATGTTTGGAGGATGGGGGTGGGATTTTGTTTATGAAAAGAAAGGAGCCTCCAGTCATATTCACCCTGTTTGAGTGGAGAGGGGTCCATTGGAAAAGCACCTCAAGCTGGTGTGGGAACCCAGAAAAATCATCTCTACTTTATATTGGTCCTTTGATTTGAGGTGCAGCTTTCCAGATGTGTTGAGTTTGGATGCCTCTTTTCTCAGGTTTGGTGAGTGTTGCTTTATGGTCAGCAAGGGATATTGGTTGGTGCAGGCTTTGCAATGTTTTGGGTTAAAATCGAGCCAGAACTCTCTATAGGTAGGTTTAGCATGAAATATGGAAAGCTTTTTTTTTCTTAAATATGTATATTTATTGGAGGTACATTGCTTTCTAAGAATGTGGGTGTTTATGTTTCAGGGACCCAATGTTACCACTCAACTCCCCGCACAGAATTGCTGCTATCCTCTGCACTGTCCATAGTTTGAGCATCCTTTTCAGCCCCTACCACACTACCTTGGTAACTTCTGTTTTGCCTTCAGAGTCCAAGGATTTGTCTTCACCTGACATTTTCTCTTCTCTTGCTTTGTTTCTCATCACACTTTACTGAGAGCACCAAGTATTTGCCTGTCTCTTTCTGACATCCTTGACTTAGGCGACCCTTCCAGTTCTATGTTGTAGCAAAAGACATGATTTAGTCTTTTCTTCTAAGTGAGTTGTGTTCCTTTGTGTATAATACCATGGTTTCTTTATCCACTTACTTTAGACCCCTATGAACAGTGATAAGTAAGATTTTAAAATGACCAATTGCAACCTCTCAGTTTTTCTGCCCCACCCTCTTCCACCATTTCTCTGTGCAGAACCCTGAACTCTGTATTCACACAATGGTTGTTTTTCTGTGAGTTTATTTTATTGCCCTGCTTCTCTTGGGTGACTTTAGAGAGTGCTGAGGATTCAGCCCAGCGACTCATAACATGCAAAGCTTGAAGTCACCAGGGACTTTCTCATCCTCCCCAACATGATCCCTTTTCTTCATTTGGTACATGCCAGCAGAGTTCAGTGGGAGCTAGATGGCTGCTGGTGGAGCCTGTGAGGTGGGAAGGCATGTCCTTTCGGGCCTGTGTCAGCAGTTCTGGAGGACCACGAGACTGAGGCACACAGTAGAATGTGTTTGAAACTTTTCATCTCCAAGTCAGGCATACTTGCAATGAGCTTTCCACAGGCAAGAGGAACCAGAAAATCTGGAAATGAAAGGCCACGCTTCCTGGTTTTCTGGAATCACTCTCATCTTTTTATTTTTCAGTTTATTTTGAGCTGTCAAATCACGTACTATGCAGCTTACCCATTTAAAATGTATAATACAATCAGTGGTGTTTAGTATATTCATATTTTTACAACCACCTTTATACCCAATTTTAGAATATTTTAAATTCCCGCAAATGAAGTTCTCTTACCCTTAGAAGCCAATCCCTCCCTGACCAAATAACTGACTCTCTGTGGTCCTCTCTAAAGGTTTGCTCATTCAGAATTTTCCGTATGAATGTATCCACATAGCATGCACTCTTTCTCTGCTTTTTTTTAAACCTAGTACAACATTTTCTAAGTTCAGGCACTTCTGTAGAATATATCAATACTTCATTCCTTTCCCTTATATAACTGAGTAATATTCCACTGGATGGGCTTGACACATGCAATCTGTTCAGTTTGGTCGACATTTGTCGTATTTAAACTTTTGATTATCACAAGTAACACTAATGAAGATTCATGTTTGAGCTTCCATCTGCACATCTGTTTTCATTTCTCTTGTGGAATTGGTGGCTTATCTGGTAGTTCCATGTTTCATGACTTAAAGGACCATCAGACTATTTTCTTTTTTCTTTCTGGGTCACACCCAGCGATGCACAGGAGTTACTCCTGGCACATGCACTCAGGAATTACTCCTGGCAGTGCTCGGGGGACCTTATGGGAAGCTGGGGATCAAACCCAGGTTGGTCGCTTGCAAGGCAAATGCCCTACTTGCTGTACTATCGCTCCAGCCCCCCAGACTATTTTCTAAAGTTGTGATACCACTATCATTTCCTTCCTGCTGTTTGTAAGAGCTTTGATTGCACCCTTCTTGTGAATATTTAGTTTTAGATGTGTCGAATTTTGAAATTTTATATTGTTATTTTATTTCCTTCTTCCCTTTCTATTGCTGCTTTTGATGGAGGGTGGTGTTCACACCTGCACTACTCAGACACTTGACTGTAGTTCTTGCTGGTCATCTACCTACCTGGTTGCAAGGCTTGCAGCCAGCCACAGTGCACATCACGTGGCACACACTGTAGGTGGGTTGTTAGTATAAGTACTCTTGGAGGGTGTGGTACTTAGCTGTGGTGTACAAGCACATTCTGGTTGTAATGTTCCTGTGGTGTTCACACATATTGCCTAGAAGTCTCAATTCCTGGCCAGGTACTCACACACATTAGTGGTGGTGCTTGATCACACATGATGGTGTGTACACACCTGAGTGAGCATCAGAGTACACGTACTTGATGGATGGTGACGCCAGTGAGTGAACTCAAAATCTCATGCTTGCAAGGTGAGCATTTTTAGCCATTGAGTCATGTCCAAGACTGCCTGATTTTTCTGTTTGTTTTTCACTCTGGCCATCTTGGTGTGAATTTGTATCTCATTAGATTATTTTTTTTCTGTGATGATTAGTGAAGCTGAACACATTTTCATATGCCTATTGGCATGCACATGTCTTCCATGGCATACAAATTAATATCTTTTAGCAAAATAAATGATTCAGATCCTTTGTCCATTTTTCAGTTGAGTTACCTTTTAATTATTCAGCTACAAGTTCTCTATGGTCTGGAAACAGTTATTATACCAAATACAGTGATTGTACTGCTGGTAGGGCACTTGCGTGTGTCCGACCTGGGTTCGATTCTTCCGTCCCTTTCTGAAAGCCTGGCAAGCTACTGAGAGTAATCTGCCCGCATGGCAAAGCCTGGCAAGCTACCCGTGACGTATTCCTTATGTCAAAAACAGTAACAACAAGTCTCACAATGGGGATGTTACTGGTGCCCGCTTGAGCAAATCGATGAACAATGGGAGGACAGTGCTACAGTGCTACAATGATTTAAAAATATTTTCTCCCATTCTGCACTTTGTCTTTTAATTTTTTGAGGATATTATTTGCAACACAATTTTGAAGTATTTTCTTCCTTGTACCCCTGGTGTTTTGATGTCATTTGAGAGTACATTTTAAGCAGCCAATATTATGCTTTGTTTTCTGAATCAGTTTGGAAAATTTAAACCAAGCACGTGCAAATCCCAAGAAGGGTAGAAAGAGTGGTGGTGGCAAACTTTGTCAAAATTTCCCCTATGTCTTTGTTTAAGTTGCTAAGTGGGTGTGAACTAGTTTCTATGAAGCCCATCCCACCCAGAGCCATAAATAAGTCCTCGTGGAGGTCATTCTCCCTTCTGACTGTTGGGTTATTGGACAATGAACTTATCACTTTGAGTGATGGAGTTTCTGGCTGGTGAGCTTTTGCACAAGAAACTTAAGTGAAGCAACATGGAAAAGTCTGGTCAACTATAAACCAAAGCAGATATCCTATAACTTCATGGCTTTTCAAAGAGAAATCAAAGTGGGTCCATTTAGGTTCTCCAGGGAGAGTCAAGGCTTTAGAGCAGTATGATCTTTGCTTGCCAGGTGCTGATACTAAAGAAAAAAGTTTTCTCCTCTCCTCCTTGGGCTCCTTTCAGACTGCTTTGTGCATAACGTTTCACACTTAATGGCTTCACAGGAAGGACTTCAAACTGGAGCTGGCACAGAAAGAGGAAATTTCAAATTAAATGCTGTTACTGTCTACAAAATAGAAGCACTAATTGAAAAAAGGAGTCTCGGAAAATGCATTGCTTTAGTTCTTCCAGAGATGTTTCTTGGCTGGTCTCACTTACAATGCAAAGACAAAATAAAACACTCATGTACTTATAATGTGCTCACTAATCATTGAGAATTTTAGCTTACGTTAAATTTAATATGTAATTGCAAACATAAGGTTGACCTTAATTCTTACTTTTTAATCTTTAAAAGATGACATTTGTGAAACTTTTAATAATAAAATAATCCTTTTTTTTCCAGAAAATAACTTTTCAGTGAAAGTATGAAGCGTTGTCTTTGAACACTATCAATTTTATCAATTCAGAGATCAGTAATGTATAAAATTGAATAAATACTTTTAAATTGAAGCAATATTGTAGGTAATGTAGCACTGTCCTCCCGTATGTTCATCGATTTTCTCGAGCGGGCCCAGTAACGTCTCCATTTTGAGACTTGTTGTTACTGTGTTTGGCATATCGAATACATCACGGGTAGCTTGCCAGACTTTGCCGTGCAGGCAAGATACTCTTGGTAGCTTGCTGGCTCTCTGAGAGGGGCGGAGGACCGAACCCGGCTCGGCTGGACTGGCTGCACGCAAGTCAAATGCCCTACTGCTGTGCTATCACTCCAGCCCTATTGTAGGTAATGTCACGGTCACGGTCCTCCCATTGTTCATCGATTTGCTCGAGCGGGCCCAGTAATGTTTCCATCGTGAGACTTGTTCCTGTGTATGGCATATCGAATACATCACGGGTAGCTTGCCAGGCTCTGCCGTGCGGGCGAGATACTCTCGGTAGCTTGCTGGGCTCTCCGAGAGGGGCGGAGGAATCGAACTCGGGTCGGCCATGTTGGCCGCTTGTAAGGCGAACGCCCTACCCGCTGTGCTATCGCTCAAGCCCTTGTAGGTAATGAAAGAGGGAAGTATAAGAATTTGTTAAACATTTGCTGAGATTAGAATAAGACAATTTT